TGATTTGGTTAATGTTCGAGTTCGGCTTGTTTATTTTATTATATATAATGTATGAGTTGTGCAACAAAACTGGGAAAACTTTTTTTACGAAAAAGCATGTCTTTTTTCTTGTTTAATTTATTTTTCGGTCTACAGCAACTCTCTTTTTCTGCTTTCTATATAGACATGCTTTTGATAAGTTTAGGGAAATGCTATATGGTCACCCAATTATGAAAAAGTTATGGCCATAATTGATACTTATTTAGGGAAATGGTAAGGTCCCGTTACGGAACTATTCTGTCGATGTTTGTAATTGTCAGACCATCATGTAATCGTCAGAAATAATTGATCTAACGGTTACATACCTCGACAGAATGATTACGTACCGTACCATCTTCTATTTATTTTTTCATAAAAATTCACGGTAATTCGATCCTTCCGGTGAAGGACTGTCCTGATCACCATGAGTTTTTGCAATTGGATCACACACATTTATTGTGTTTATCAATTTACAAAAAATAAAAATAAAAGCCTAGTCACGATTTTTTTAGTTCATATCTTGAAATGTTCAATGGGGGCAACGCTATGTACTATTCCTAAAACATACAGATATCTCATGTATTGGCAGTATCATGTAGTACTGTTCATAAAGTAAAGTATTAAGGATAGTACAATAAGACAAGAGGGTTAATTATATTATATTATATAAATTAAATTATCATTCATATTTTGTATCAAAATATAAAAATAAAAATATCAAAATTTATAATTTTTCATTATCTACAAATAGATACCACATTTGATATTTTTTGGGACACAATTAATTTATCATTTTTTACAATTAATTTATCTTATTGGAAGATTATGACATAAATCTATAATTAGATGAATATGTTACATAAGATGAACATGTCATAGAATAAGATGAAAATGTTACATTTTCACAGATGAAATTTAGATGAACATATTCTAAAATAAGATGAATGTGTTACATAATAAAATAAACATGTTATAGAATAAGATGAACATGTTACATAATAAAATGAACATGTTATAGGATGAGATGAACATGTTACATACACAATAAGGTGAACATGTTACATAATAAAATAGACATGTTATAGAATAAGATGAACATGTTACATAATAAAATGAACATGTTATAGAATAAGATGAACATGTTACATACACAATAAGGTGAAAATGTTACGTAATAAAATGAACATGTTATAGAATAAGATGAATATGTTACATAATAAAATGAACATGTTATAGAATAAGATGAACATGTTACATACACAATAAGGTGAACATGTTATAAAATAAGATGAATATGTATTATTTCAATCTGCAATCTGTAACATGTTCATCATATTTGAAAACATATTCATTTTATTATGTAACATGTTCATTATATGTCAGTATAATAAAATAATTACGAAAAAAACGAAAAATTAGTTGTGTTCAAAAACCTATCAAATGTGGTCTCTATTAATAGATAATGAAAAATTATGAATTTTGGTATTCTTTTTAATATAAATAATTAATGATATTTTAATTTATGTAATATGTCTCATTTATCAATTAAAAAAAAAAAGAAAAATAGGAATGTGCACTACACTCTCCAAATTTTCTTTTTTTGGGGTGAAGGAGGCGCGTGCAAAACTGCTCTGGCACACCTAGCTAGGTGTGTCAGGGCACACGGTAGTGCTACTGCCCTACCCATGTATCATGCGTACAAAAGCATTGTACCAAGACACATTTTGTTGAGGTTTTGGATCGAAAAAACTTTCTCTCTCTAAAAGTCGAAACCCCCAAATTCTCAGCCTTAATCTATCGCTCCTGCTCCGCTAAATCTCGATTACAAAGCCTTACCCAACCGGCATTGGGAATTTCGTCGGTGGCCGTCTCCGTGCTACGCGGCCCTCCTCTCAATTTGTGTTGGAGCCTCTATTACGCGGCGTTGGAAGCTGATGGCGCCTCAGGTGGCTTTCGGCGTTAGTGTAGACGTTGGGAAGACGGGTGTGTGAAGGGGTTAGGTGGCTGTTGCTCTTCATACTTGGGGGCCGGGAACGACTATCGGGGCGAAGGGTTGTGTTTTTGGGTGCGATTCCGGTTAGGCGTGAATTGGAAAATTCTGGAAGAGTGTCTAGGAGCGTGATCCGGTCCATTGGGGTGGTCGGTCCGGTTGCCGCCGTCGTGTGGTTCTTGGTGTTTGCCGGTTGCAGGAAGGGTATTATCAAGCTTTAAGTTTTTAGTTCTCTTTGTCCTTGTTTTTGTTTATTTTTGTGGGTTTAGTAGGGTTTTTGTGTGTGTGTGTTTGTTGTCTTGTGTTGTTTTGTTGATTTAGTGTGGGTTGTAGCGTTTTTTTTGTGAGTTGGTGTTTTTTGGTTGGGTTGTTTCGGTGGTATAAGTGTGTTCTCTCTGTATGGAGGGAGCGTTCTTTTTCGCGTCGAGGAGGGGTATTCTCCCGTAGGGGAGGGTGTCGTCTCCTGTTGGGGAGTTTGGGTGTAGTCTCATGTTGGGAAATTTTCTCCAGTTGTGAAGTTTGTTTGTGTTTGTGTTTTTTATGTTTTTTAGTGGGTGCGTTGTTCTAGTTGAACTTCTAGGCGATCCTTTAGATTTGTCCTCCCACTAGATCCGGCTTTTGAGCTATTCTTTCAGCTTTTGAGTTCTTTTTAGATGTATGTATGTGTTTTTTATCTATGAAATTTTATCGTTTTGAAAAAAAAAAAACACATTTTGTTGGGATCATGAATTAGGTCCAATTGGCAGACTACACCACATAAAAAAAGCATATTTTTTAAATTCGGGCACGCGGATTGACTCGAATATTCTCCGAGTCAGCAGGCTATTGGTGAATCGGATAATTAATTTTAGAGTTTTTAAAATTATATATATACAAATAACAAATTTAAATATTTTGTAAGTAAGTTTTATACATCAAAGTTTAGTAATATTATATTTGATACAAATATAAGTATATATAATTTTTAGTTTTAAAATAAACAAATAGATTAAAAAAACCATAATGATAATTGGGTCAAACTGGGTTTGACAACCGAGTCAATTGGGTCAAGGCCAGGTTGACCGGGTCTGTTGTCTCCCTGCTCAAAACACCCAACCAGACCGATTCTGACTTCACGTCGACCGAGTCTCAGATCAACTCGTTGGGCCGATCCGAATTGCACAACAATGCATAAAAGCAACATTGGAGAGAATGATTTACTTGAATTAATAACAAAATTTCCACTTAAAATTTTTAAAGATACAATTCTTAGTATTTTTTTGAGAGAACGACGGCTAAGTGAAAATTCAAGTAAATTTCATACTGAAACCCTACTCCTCCAAATCAATGCCCAATTCGTACTCCTCCGAATCGATGCCCAATTCGGCTTCCATATCAATTTCATGCTTTTCCTAGTTTCATTGCAAATGTTCCCTTTCTTTACCCAATATTGTTATAATTAACTGAAGCTAGTAGGCTGTAATCACAATAGTTACATTACTTATTTAGACCATATACACATATACATAATATTATATTTATATATTTATATGAAATACAGTCAAACTGTAAATGTATTTAAAAAACTTAAATTACTAAAGTGAATTGTGGCTTTACCAACACACATCTAACAGCAGAAATTCTATGGTGCCACATGTGGTACCATATTATGCTGTCACAACATGATGTGACACATTATGATTGGTGCCACAACATGATGTGTGATAGTGTGACACCAATCATAATGTGTCACATCATGTTGTGGCACCATAGAATTTCTGCATCTAACGGCTCTACTCATTCGTACTAGTTGCAAAATAAATAATGCCTCTCCAGGACAAGACTAATTATATTTTCCTCAAAGGAATCAAGCAAAATTTCGATGTTTTTTTTTTTAAGGAAAATAGAGACGATTTTTTTGTAACGGCATTAAACATCAATAAAAACTTTTAAATTAATACACAGAAAATTATTAATCTTTTTTTATAAAAATAAAAAATCAAATGAAAAACTATTTGACTACGGTAAACCTTTATAACTGACCACAAACTTTTCAACACACTTTTTTTTTTGGGTACATAGACGGGCCGAGGCCCGGAAGCTACTCTACTAGAATGCAACGTGGGTAGGTTACCCCACAGACGTCGTGGTCTAGCCAATGGTTCAGCCCTTGTGGGGTGTCGAGATCCTGTGCACTCCTAGCGGGGAGTCGGCCGCTAATTTTGCCATTTGGTCAGCTCACTACAAGAAATTTCGCAAAAGACGACGAAAAAATTCGTCATGTAAGCCTTGTTTTTCGTCATAAAAGTACATTGATGACGAAATTTTTTCGTCGCAGCGATCGTCACTGTAGCCGCGTCATATTAGGTATAGGTGACAAATTTCGAATTTGTGACCAAATGTTTAACTTTTAATGACGTTTATAAGTTTCGTCATGATATTTCGT